GGCGGCGGGGGGGCGCGGCGCGGCGGGCGGCGCGGCCGAGCTGCAGCCGGAGCTGGCGGTGGCCGAGCACGTGCGGTACGAGAGCACCGGCCCGGCGTTGTGCACCGTGGTCTTCCTGCTCGTCTACTTCTTCGGCATGGCTAGCTCCATCTGGTGGGTCATCCTCTCCCTCACCTGGTTCCTGGCCGCCGGCATGAAGTGGGGGAACGAGGCCATCGCTGGCTACGCACAGTATTTCCACCTGGCCGCCTGGCTGCTCCCCAGTGTCAAGTCCATCGCTGTGCTGGCGCTCAGTTCTGTGGACGGGGACCCCGTGGCTGGCATCTGCTACGTGGGCAACCAGAGCCTGGAGAACTTGCGGGGCTTCGTGCTGGCACCGCTGCTCATCTACTTGGCCATTGGCTCCATGTTCCTGCTCGCTGGCTTCGTCTCGCTCTTCCGTATCCGCAGTGTCATCAAACAGCAGGGTGGCCCCACCAAGACCCACAAGCTGGAGAAGCTGATGATACGCCTGGGACTCTTCACCGTGCTCTACACTGTGCCAGCTGCTAGCGTGGTCGCCTGCCTCTTCTACGAGCAGCACAACCGGCCACGCTGGGAGGCCACGCACAACTGCCCCTGCCTGCGTGACCAACAGCCTGACCAGGCCCGCCGCCCTGACTATGCCGTCTTCATGCTCAAGTACTTCATGTGCCTGGTGGTGGGCATCACCTCTGGTGTCTGGGTCTGGTCCGGCAAGACCCTTGAGTCCTGGAGAGCCCTCTGCACTCGCTGTTGCTGGGCCAGCAAAGGTGCTGCCGTGGCTGGGAGTGCAGGGGCAGGAGCAGGTGGGCAGGCAGCAATCACTGCAGCAGGAGGACTTGGGGCTGGAGGTGGTGGCTCACTCTACAGTGATGTCAGCACTGGCCTGACGTGGAGATCAGGCACTGCCAGCTCTGTCTCCTATCCCAAGCAGATGCCCCTGTCTCAAGTATGAGGAGGGCGAAAGAGGCCAAAGGTTAGGGATTGAGGGACACTGGCCTGCCTAAAATGCCCCCTCACTGTTTGGTGCCATTAATGAACCCCTAATGGTCCTTATTAGCCACAGCTTGTATAGAACAATGCAGCTGGCAGAGGCCCCAGGCTCCAGCCCCCTCCTCCTTCCCCTCCATTCATATGCAGGGAGCATGTACTTCAAGGAGCCAGCTTATTATTTTGCTGGCAGAGGAGGGTAGAGGCTCACCCGTGTCTTACAGAGGGCAAGGCACAGCGGCTTTTGAGTCACTCTGGACTAACAGCAACTCTTTACTTAAGGGAGAGAGGGTCTTCCTCCCCCCAGTCCTGAGGTGGGAGTCTGCTGGACTGCAGGTTTTTGAGATGTTGATGACCAGGCAAATGCCTTACAATATAGACTGAAACAAAACATGTCTTAATTATACACCCCAGCTAAATACGGGTTTCCTACATTAAAGGATGTATTTATATAATTATTTGTTACCTTGTACAGATGTGTAAAATATGTATATATCCAAAGCTATACAGTCTGTAAATTTTTTTGTAAAAATGTTTAGAGGCTACCCCTGTAAGAGCAAATATGAGTATTCTATTTTGTCAATAAAATGACTTTTGATAAATGACTTTTTCAAGCTTTTCCCCTACTCCTGCCTTGGTTCTTCAAACTGCTATATCTTTAGGTAGTTGTATAAACTACAAACTGCATTCATGCTCCAGTCATTACCTGTTAAAGTATTGAGATATGTAGACACAAGAAAACAAGTCATTCAACAAGTTATTCTGAAAAAGTGTTTGCCAAAATGGGGAGGTGCCTTGCCATAGTTCTCTGCTTTTTGAAAGATGACAGTATCTTTAAACTGAGCTTTTACAAAAGAGTCATCTCACATGGCATGTTAAGTATCTTTTGAAAATGGGTGTTATTTTAGGAATGTGCACACAGGCCTCTTGTATCTGTTTTCTGCACTTCTGTAAGCACCTGCCTTTCCTGGGATGCATGCTGAAGTGTAAAAGGTTAATGTTTTAAATTCATAGATCATGTACTTTGGTGGAACAGCAAGTTGAGATTTGTTAGATCAATCTCTTCTTAACAGATTAAACTAACATCTTAACTTTTGTATATCAAATATGGTGCTTTTTCAAGAGAAAAGGTATTGTTCTTCTGTCAGGACTAAGCTAATTTATTTGAGCAGAAGGCTGTTGAATTAACAGAAGAATGCTTTGGCAATTGTTGAACTTTTTACCTGTCTGCCCAGTGGCTCAGAACATCATTCCTTTAAGAGGAGCTAAATGAATAGGGTTAATCTGTAGGGAACTTGGTTTCTTTTGAGTTTGGGAAAACTTTGATCTTTTCTCTTCACCAAACGTGATGTATAGTCTGAAGTTTCTTTCCCTGCTGCCTGGTTCCTCTTGTTGCAGACCAATTGGCCACCATGGAGCCTTAAAGTTCTTCAATTAAAGGGACATGGGACTTTTTTTTTTTTTATTTTAAGAGGAAGACTTGTAACAGTTAGTGAACACCAGAGGGAAAAGGGAGAACAGCCTTTTAAACAGCTTTTCCCTGCATTGTTAGCCAGACTGCAGGCAGCAAGGCATGGCTTGGAGCATTATAGAAAAGAGCTATGAATGCCCTACAGGTGGTCTGCTCACATAATCTCCCCAATTTAAAACATTTTCCTTTACAGGACAATTGCATTACAAAACTCCCTTCTCTTTTGCTCCTAATTGAACCAAAGAACTACTACAAGATTTTCTTTAAAAACTGAGTGTTTAAAAAAATTTAAAATGTATTAACTACATTCTAATCTGTTTTCTAAAATGCGAGTACACACAATGCCAGGAGTAAAAACTGCATTAGACGTTATTCCATATGTTTTTATGTCTTCTGCTTATATTCTGTCAAATTAACAATAATTTAAAAGCAATTGGTTAGGTTGTGTGCTAGCAGTGAAAAGATAGCCCCAGGTCCCTTATTAACCTGCCAATCATGATAAGAGATGGGCAGCTACCCTACTAATGACACAGATATCAGTCATGGTTTGTGGGAAAAACCTTGTTTCACTGAGCACTGACTTGATTATTGGTGTCCTTTTCAAAGATCTCCTAACTTAATAGACTTCACTTCTACAAAGTTACCGGGAACATGAAAAGGAGGAATTTAAAATGCTTCTAACTCCTCAGAGGGTAAAATAGTTTTAACTTCTCAAATGCAAAGGAAGTTCCACTGGAATTTGTTCATGGTACCTATTTATACACCAATTGACCAGGATCAGAATATTGATATACCTGTAAGCTGAAAAGGCTCTAGTATTTTCTCGTATTGCTGGAAACATTTTTTTTTTTTTTTCACAATTGTTGAAACATTTAGATCAACATGGCACTTTCCACTGCTGTCAGCAGGGCTGAGGTAGAGATCTTCCTGCTTGGGAAGCTCCACATATAGAAGCACAGTCAGTTCTGCAGATAAAAATCTGAGTTCCTTCCCCTCCAGCAGGTTCTAGCAAGGAAGACAGAGGGGAGCTACAGCCGCAACTCGTCTGAGAATTTGTTTAGATAGGTCTCTTGCAGACTGCTGGTACAGGTTGCTGGTACTGAGATAAAAGCATTTCTAGTAAAAGAAAGGAAGTAGTCCTGTGGCTTAACCTACTCTGGAATGAGCCAAGGGGTGTTACAGGTGAATTTAGGCAGGAAAGGAGTCTCAGAGCTAGTGAAGTTACCAAGATGCCTGCTTTGAAATTGACTGAGTAATAACGCAAAGGCTAACCAAATAAAAGTGAGGCAAAATTCAAATCGCTAGAAACACAAACATAGGGAATGGTGCTAAAGAAGTTAACTTACAAGTGCGGATTTTTGTGATTCAGCATAAAATTTGTGTATAAGGAAAAACATAATCAGAAACACCAACAGCAAGTCATTTAGGTATAAAAGAAATACAAATCCATGACTACAAAGAACTTCACATTATTAAGATATCTTTTATCAGACTTTAAAGATACAATTCATATAAAGACCAAAAAAATATTGTTGTGTCGTTGGTAGGAAATACATGTTAGCTTTCAAGATCTGATGATAAACTGCCTTCTCCCTTATATTTGACAGAAGGCTATTAAAAGTAGCACCAGCAGACCATGGCCCAAGCCCTTGCCTGCGGAGCAGGAGTGCCCTCGGCATCCCTGCTGGCACAGGCTCATCCATGGGCAGGGACAGCACCCACGCACACCAGCTCCAGAGAGCTGAGGGAAAGCTTCCCTGTCACTGATGTGGCCCATAGCACAACTTGTATAGCAAAGTTTGGAGAGCTGCACAAATGGCAACTAAGAGCCTCCCACAGCTCACAGAAAGGCCTCACTAACTGCTCTGTTCAGGCAAGTGACCAACCCAGCAGAGGAACATGGTTTGGGATTTTTTTTCTTCCCAAATAAGCAACGTACCTTTAAAGTGTTATTTTTCTTTCCAGGACTCCTCTTTGCTTTACATGTTCCTGCTTCAAAAGAAAATACTGTGGATTATTCTCCTCCTCCTGCTGCAATGACTAAATAATGCTGCAGCCTCCCAGATTGCTGGCCTAGCTTCTGGTAGGCATTTTAAAAGGAGGCAGAGCAGTGCAGGTGTGCTGGAGAGCCTCAGCAGGGACATCACACATTCCCTGGGCCCTTCTGCTAAGTCCTTGGGGGCTATCTGGAAGTGTCCTGCAATGTACTCCAAAGTGTTTCCTGTGCAGGAGAAGCTTCCCTGGAGCTTTGATAATCAATCATGGAAGGGAAGGGACTTCAGACAGGGAGGAATTAGGACATTCTCATATATTATAATAATATGAATGTGGCCAGGCTTTCTGGAAGGCTGTGAAGGCTAAGACTGGCACACAAGGAGTATTTTTTCCTTGTTTCTTATGTAGTATTTGAAAATCAAAGTATTGAGGGGGTCACCCATTAAATAGTTCTTCAAGTGTGCTTGAGTAGTCCTAAAAAGTGTCCCAGGAGGGGTAGGAAAGCTGGAGGCAGGGGTGTCTGTGTGCACACACTACCCACAGCTTCACCTCAGCTTTGGCGCCCAGGCTCTCTCCAGGTTCACTCAGGAGGACACCTCACTAGGCACATGAAGGTGCCTTGTAGAAGAAATTGGCAACAGTTTTTCACAAGAGGAGACTTGTACCAGGAGACAAGGCAGAATGCCCAAATTTAAAAAGGAATCAGTAGCTGAAAAAGAAATACATTGGGAGAATCCCAGGTCTACTTTGAAATATGAAAATTAATACAAGACCACTCCTTAATCCCAGTGACTGTGCCCAAGACATTTATGTCACAAGCACTACATGCAGGGCAAAAGCCAAACCAAGCCTGCTCAGTAAATTAACTTTCTCAGCCAATAAAGACATGGAATTTTATACGGGATAGACAGGCCACCTAACATGGTGAAAAAGCAAACCGGTGATAATGAACACTGAAAAATGACAAAAGATGCTCCTGGAGTGAAAGCTCTCCTACAGTCGAGATGCTGGAGAAAAGCTCGGTGTGGGCCAGTCAAACCAGCTTGTGGAATCACAACCAGTTTCCAAAGTGCCTGTTACAACCTGCCTGTAGCATGCCCTGCTCCTGCACCCCATTCCAGAGCCACACAGCCCGTGTTTCTCTAGGCACACACTTCTACTCCCACACACCGTGGTCAACACAGCTGCTGGCCTAATAGAGAAGTAAGGAACAACTTCTCTCCATTGCCCATCCTGGCCATGTTCCCCCTCTTTTTGTTCTGCATACCAGATGGTATGGAAGAGATAGCACATCTCTTCTTAAAGAGGCTGGGCAACAAAGGTCACCCTGAAAAGAGTAGGATGAGACTAAGAAGAATAAAGAGATCTACAAATGATGGTCCAAAGAAGAAATATTAAACAGGACAGGCTCCCAGCATGTGGTCATGATGAGTTCTAGGCAGCCTTTAAGAGAATGTAATTAGAAATCTTCAGACAACTCTATTGATTTAAGCTTTTATAACTGCCCATCATTACTGTAATCAGGTATATGAATTTCACTAGTTCAGCAGAAAGGATCACACATCATAAATGATATGGTGGTATGGAAATAACTACTGTCTGGTGTTAAAATGTGGAGCAATAATATGAGGCGACTAAGGATAGTCAAATCACTACAGAAACTACTACCTAAGGTCAAATGCTGAACCAAGCTTTTTGAAGGCTGAGATAACACTTTTTCACTCCTACGAGTCTCTTATCTGTGCTCTCAAAACACTTTACATTCACTTGTTAATTAATAGTCAAATTTCTTGTGAGACAAAAATTGTGGTAATAATACCCAGGCTAACGAAACTTAAATGCAAGTCTAGGGGAAGAACCTGGATTTCCTGACTCCACTTTGTGTTTTCAGTAAAGCTCCATTTTACAAGCATTTCCTCACACTTCTGCCCTCCCCAACAATTTCCTCCCAATACTCCCCCAAAGGCCACAGTCCCACATCCCCAGTACCCAGGTACAGCACCAAATCTGTCACCGGGGGGGCCATCGCTTTAGGCTGCCCCGAGACAAATCGGGGCAATGGATGCTGAGGGGCTGGAGCCCAATCGGCTTTTAAAAGAATGAAGAAAAACGAGTCATTCCTCCATTCCCTAAGGCAGG